TGGACATTCTTCTCCCTCATACAAATACACATGTAGAAACATTGTCTACTAACCCTATACATTGACCATTATTAATTTTAGTATACAAGAAAAGAATATCAGGATGATGATGTTGGAAGTTCAGAGTTCTGAAGCTATGATTTACTTATTGTATTTAATAGCAAAATTTCCATTGATTTTGGTGGCCTTCATCTCTTTGACAGTGCAATACACAAAATCATAATCGATAGCCATGTCAGCCTTTTAGGAGAAGGATGAGAGAGCTCTGGTGGTGCAGTGCCTAAGCCATTTGTTAACCAGAAGTTTGGCGGTTCAAACCTCACAGCCACTCTGCAGAAGGAAGATGGGGCAATCTACTTCTGTAAGATTTGCCACCTTAGAAACCCCATGCGGTTGCTATGAGTCAGAATCGACTTGATGGCAGTGGTTAAGGTGAAGAATGATGTTCTGACTAGGATTTACATGCTTTAATGGATTCCTAAAGTTTTCAGTGGTCACCATAATACTCACATGCCACACTCCAGTGATTCATTCCTTGATTCATTTACAGAACACATATTTTGAATGCCTGTTGTTATGAGTGTCCTGGTTATGTCAGTACATCAGCCTGCAAGATAAACTCAAATCTTTGTCCTCAGAGAACTGAACTGTTCCCTGCCCCTGTCTCTCCTGTGACTAGACTAAACTCCTTGAGGGCAGGCACGTAGCTACCTACCTTCTATCTTCAGTGTACTACTCAGTGCCCACACACACTTAATATTCAAAACTTCTTTCTTGGACAAGTGAATAAATCAACAACCAAAGCAAAAAACCAACCTGACTGCTGTTGAGTTGGAGCCGACTCATAGTGATCCTTCCTTGGGTTTCCAAGGCAGTATCACTACGGAAGTAGATTGCCCAACCTTCCTTCCGAGGAGTGGCTGGGGGGGTTTGAACCACCAAACTTCTGGTTAGCAGTCAAATGCTGTGAGCAGTACGCCACCAGAGCTCCACAACAGAAACCTATAATTTCATTTACTTCATCCCCTACACTGCGGGGACATTCAATAAAGAAATCCAATACTTACATCTGTTATTATGTTTTTAGATCCCAGGAAATTTAAAAATACTTTTAAAATTGGTTGCACACTGTTTAACTGATGCTTCACACTCAGTTGTCCTATTGTTTTGATATTAGTTGATCTGATATTGCCCTGTTGTTCTGATATTAGATATGACTGGAAAGGGCAAGGATATTCTGGGAGGTATTTTAATTACATTCCGTTGACTCTTCCCCAACACCTCTAAGCTTTTAGACTACTCCTCTTTGCTTACAGATGCTGTGTAAATTGCAGATGTTGTTCAAGACAGCCGTCACTTTTGCCTGCTAAGTATTGATCCTTTGTAAACACAAAACCACAGCTGTTGAGTTGATTTCAATTCATAGTGATGCAACAGGACAGAGTAGAACTTCCCACAGGGTTTCCAAGGCTGTAAATATTTATGGAAGCAGACTGCCACATCTTTCTCTTGCAGAACCGCTGGTGGGGTCCAAGCACCAGCCTTTCGGTTAGCAGCAGACAGCTTTAACCACTGTGCTACCAGGTCTCGATTTTTTTTAATCCTCCATAGCTCTCCATAGATAACCAATGATTTAGGTAGAACTACTGCCTCAGAAACCCAAGAAGGGGTCGCTATGAGTCGGGGATGACTCGGCACATAACAACAACAACAAAATTGTTGCATTTTAGTCTGTCTCTGTACCATGTGGTCAGAAGAGGAGACATAGTTTTGCTTTGAGAAAAGGAAAAGCATTATTTGGGGTCATCTTTAAGACTGATGTTTGTAATTAAGTCTCAAGTTCTTGCCTTCCTTCATCTTGGTCTTTCCCATTTGAGATTTCCTACTCGTTGCCCTCTCGTCAGGGGATCTCTTGCAAGTCTCCTTCAAATTCAACTTCCATTCCACTCCTGATTCACAATCACTTTCTTCGTTTAGCTTCAAAACACAAGTTAGCCTCAAACAAACATAGCTTTTGTGTCACTTTTAATTCATTGTATATGTTTCTGAGCTTTTATTTTGTACTTCAGTCATTTTAGTCATTTATGCAAAGGCCAACATTGTCTAAAGGTTAAGGAGACTCTGTACTGCATGCAGCTCCATCCCTTACTAGCTGAGTGATAATAGGCATGCTATTCCACCTCTCTTAAATTTCAGTGGCTTCATCTCCATGGTGGAATGGGGATACTAATAATACCTATCTCCTAAGATTATGGGAAAGATTAAATTTAATAATGCATGTACATTGCTTAAGATAGTACCTGGGACATGTTGCTTATTAATATGACCATTACTGCTGTTGCTGTAGTTGATATTAATACTATCTAACTAGATTGTAAACTCCTACAGCCTTGGGATCACATCTATGATTTGTCTTATACTCTTGATATAATACAAAATATAGTAAGTGCTCTAATAAAGGCCTTTAGAGTCAATGGATGAAAAGTAGAAAATGAAATAGCTAATGAATGTTGTAAATTCTGATTTAACATTCTTTTCTTAGAACAGTAGATATTTTCCATTTGTAGATAGACAATGTTTTTTAGCATTCAATTACATTGTGTGAAAAGATCATTCAGATTTGTGAATCTGAAAATGCTATTTATAATGTATATTTTGTAAATGTACACAGATTAAGAAGGATTAACTTAAAACTGTAGGATAATCTAAATAACCACCCTAAAAAAGTCCCACTGGCATTTTAATGAAATGTTATTTTACAACTTTAAAGCTCATTGCAATATAATTAGTAATATGTGTAATCTTTATTACCAATCTTAATCTTTTTTATATGACTTGAAAATTATTTTATGGTAGTACAATTAAAATAATGCTAAAAATGTCAGCATAACAGAATTAAACTAAAGTAACTACTACAATATTGTACCCCAAACCAGCTAATTTAAATGCAAAATACTTTGTAAAGGCTATTTATCTGGGCTAATGCATGTTAAGGGATTTAAGAAGTAGTTTGTGCAACTGAAATAAAAGGAAAAATAAGCACTGTACAGCAATCTTTACTATTGTTTAACATGACGGAATGTTAAATAGGCTTATATATAGGTCACTTGAGGAAAATGTATTAGAAGCCACATCCCAGTGTAGTAAATATAAAGGGGACAGGCAGGCAACTCTACATTCATAGGTTTTTAAAAGAGAAAGTTTTAAATGCATAAAATGTCCTTATACATGTGCAGGCAGTCCTTGGAGTACAAAGATGATCTTTTACTAATTGTGTCTTTAAGAATTTGTATGTAAGTTGGAACAGGTGCATAAGGTTTTTATTTAGCCTTACTTTAGTGAAAGAAAAGGCTGGAAGTCTTTTCAATGATTTAAACCTGGACGTGGGGCATGAGAAGGTGATTATGATGAAGAATTTCTTTCGAGTAGGGGTTGGTTCAATCATTTCACAGGGAGGGCAAATTTTCATAACATTAAAGGGCAAGTAGAAGCTGTCCATAAGCTGGATGTTCATAAACCAGGGACTGCCTGTAATGGTATATAGGTAATTATGATCGATATGTAGTGATACTGCCTCAGAAACCCAAGGAGGGATCGCTAAGAGTTGGGTCCGACTCGACGGCACATAACAACAACAATGTACTTACCATGTCTACCAGATCTAAGATACTCAGAATTTTCAGTCTATGTTTTGAAAAATGGATTTCAAAAGATTGGACAAGTGTTTAGTTGGCACTTAATGCTGGTTAGATTTTCTCTGAATATTTCTTTCTGGAAATTCACAGTAATGAATTATTTACCAAATAATTTTTATTATAAAGAAAGGATATGGAGTGAGAAATGAGGTTTTTAAATTGTACAACTAAGCCCAATATAGATTTCTACCACCTATAAGGTATGAGCTCTGGTGGCATTTGACCAAAGGCATTTGACTGTTAACCAGAAGGCTGGTGGTTCAAACCCACCAGCCACTCTTTGGAAGGAAGACTGGGCAATCGACTGTAGAGATACCACCCTGGAAACCCAAGGAGGGTCCCTGAGTCCAGACCAACTCGACGGCAGTGAGTGTGAAGTTTTTTTGGTATAAGGTATCACAATTGATATTTGTTATAAATACATCTGGTCTTTGCTCCCTTATGAATACTTTAAACATTTTAGTAAATAATTATTGTGATTATATTGCACAGAATTTTTGTCTATTATATAGAAGGAATATGTAATACATTCCAGGGAATATACATTATATTAAAATCACTGTTGTTGTTGTTGTTGTTATGTGCCCTCGAGTCGGACCCAACTCATAGCGACCCCTCCTTAGGTTTCCGAGGAAGTATCACTACTGAAGTAAATTGCCCCATCTTCCTTCCGAGGAGTGGCTGGTGGGTTTGAACCACCAGCCTTCTGGTTAACAGTCAAGTGATTTCCCTTGTGTTATTTTATCATTGTTTTATTAGTCCCTCCAAAAGCAATGGCGATTATATATTATTCTAATTTTACTTCAGTTGTACATTGTTTTGAAGGATATTTATTTTAAAAATCTGATTAACATCTAATACATTTTAGTAAGATTTAAACTGGTCTTAAAAGCAATCATCTATTAAAGTTTTATGTAAATTATAATAGAAAAAAAGTCAACATGATCTGACAGAAACTACATTATAGAGGAGTTATGGTGGCACAGTGGTTAAAGCATTTGGCTGCTAACCTAAAGGTCAGAGGTTTGAACCCACCAGCTGCTCCTGGAGTTCCTTAATTATTTACAGTCTTGGAAACCCAATGGGGCAGTTCCACTCCGTCCAATAGGGCTGTTGTGAATTGGACTTGACTGGATGGCAGTGATTTGTTGTTACAGTTATAATGTCAAAATCAGAATTCTTATTTAATAGATGATGTTACCCACTGTATTTTGTTTGGTTTATATGTTGTAGGTCCCAGCCTACTTGGAAAATCCTGCGAGGACTCAGCTACAGAAAATTCAAAGACAGCAAGCAAAACCCTTCATGACCCTTGACCGTCAGATCCTCAACCAGACCCTGAAGCAGTCACACCCTCCAGCACCCAGCGGTGGTCTTCCGGTGAGGCACGGACATGTGTCTCCCGACAATGACGCGGGCCTCACAGGGAGCCCATTCACAAAGTTGCTAACTCTCGGGGAAGAAGATGACAGTGTGGAGTGGCATGTATGTCTCATGGCTGGTCATGAATATGTATGATTAGTGTTTGATGAAAAAAAAACACTGATAAAGAAATTTAAGTCTGTATTCTTACAGTAAATATTCCAAATGCAGATTCGAAAGAAACATGTTATTTATTAGTATTCATTTCCATTAATGAAGCTCTGGTGGTCAAGTGCATGGCTGCTAAGGCCTGAAGTTCGAAACCACCAGCTGCTCCGGGAAAAAGATGTGGCAGCTGGTACTATAGTGCCTGAGGCATTTGACTGCTAACCAGAAGGCTGGTGGTTCAAAGCACCAGCCACTTCTCGGAAGGAAGATTGGGCAATCTACTTCTCGGAAGGAAGATTGGGCAATCTACTTCTCGGAAGGAAGATTGGGCAATCTACTTGCCGCCTGGGAAACCCAAGGAGAGGTCACTATAAGTCAGACCCAACTCCACGGCAGTGACCTTGTGAGCTTTGCAAGAGATTACAACCTAAGAAAGCATATGGGGCAGTTCTACCCTGTCCTGTGTGCAGGGTCCTTAACGGTGGGAATCTACTCCATGGCGGTGGGTTCATTTCAATTATATATGAATGTGAGCCAAAATAGCAGATTTAACTGTCAATATTTTCTGGTAAGTTAAAATATTTATCAATTATTACATTATATCAAAATACCCATGAAAATTAAAGAAGCAGCAGTCATTTAAAAGCACTAAATTTGTCTACTTCAAATGTTCATTAAAAAAACACTGATCATCTTATTGTACTCAATATTTTATGGATTTATAACTGGATTTTCACATTTGTCTACTTCTTTCTTTTCTGTTTTGATAAATATTTGTCTACCATTTATTAAGAAAGAATTCCGAGATGCCGAGGATACAAAATAAGACAGTGTCTAGCTTCATGGAATTTATAGGCTTGTGTGAGTTACTTGTAAACCAGCCTTTAAAGAATGAATACAACTGTGAAACTAATAACTGGAAAGAAGGCTTTTCTCAATGTAGAAAAATACACTATCAATCAAACTTTCTTTCCTTCTACTTTGTTAGATGGGATCATGCTCCAGGATCTCCCCGGTTTAGACTCCCAAACTACACTCCTGTGGTTAAAGTGCTCGGCCCCAAACCAAAATGTTGGTGGTTTGGACCCACCAGCTGCTCTGTGGTAGACAGATGAGGCAATCTGCTTCTGTAAAGATTTACAGCCTTGCTAACTCTGTGGGAGCAGTTCTCCTCTGTCCTATAGGGGCGTGATGAGTCATAATTGACTTGACGGCGGTGGTGTTTGTATTTATTTCAGGTTGCTACTTTTCAGCTATTAAGTCTGTAGCTTCCAATCTCAAAGTCATGGTCAAACTGTGAACCAAACCCACAGCCATCCAGTGGATTCCTACTCATAGTGAACCTATAGTACAGAGTAGAACTGCCCTAGGGGGTTTTGAAGACTGTAAATCTTTACAGAAGCATGCCGCATCATCTTTCTCCCACTGAGAAAGGTTAGCAGCCTAATGCCTTAACGACTGGGCTACCAGAGCTCCTAAAGTCAAGCTCGTAATCCATTATCTGTATTCCAAATGATGGAGGAAGACATTTGTTGTTGTTGTAAATTTTATGTTAATCTAGAAGGGGAAAAGAATAAAGATCTGGTAGGTTGTTTAGTGAATATATATATATATATATACATCTCTACATGGACATTCACCTAAACTTCTCAGTATTAAATAGAGAGGGAGAGTGTTCCAGAAAAATGAATGTAGAGCCAGGCTCTCCATGTGCACTATGAAAACCCTAAAAATATATGTAGGAAGAAAATCATCTGTTCAGTAAATATTAGAACTACACCCAATACAATTTATCTTAAAAGCACCTCTTTCCAAAGTTCATTCCTTTGTGTGGAAGATTGATTTCTAAAGGAAAAATAAGCATCCTGAAGAATAAGCATATACAACTCGATTCTAGGCAAAACCAAACATATTATCAAGTATGGTAGAGTCCATATTTTCTAAAAAAAAAAAAATGAGAAAGCGTTAGTGGCATGTATCAGTCTTCTCGGTTTTGATAGCAAGTCTTTTATTCCTTAAGCACACATCTTACCTTTGCTTTTATAGGAAGTTTGTATGTTATCAAGGGAATATATTGAGCTGGTTACTGAAAGGTTGGCTGTTCAAGTCTGCATCTTGGAATAAAGCTCAACTTTTGTTCTTCTGTAGATGCTTATTTTTAAATCTATGAAAGCTTATACATTGTTTATGCATCTTTGAACTTCATTCTTTGCATGCACATTATCTCCATTTTGCTTTTCTTCAGAACAACTTTTAATTTCTTTGTATCTGGTTATCTTCCTTGATCACTTTGAGGATGCTTGTTTTGCTATTTTGTAATTCTTGTTTTGTTTGCTCTGTTATTTATTTTCATTTCCATTTCAAGTGCTATAAGACTTTGTGTTTGCAGTCTTTTTTTTTTTTTTTTAATGGCAATGGATTCCTAGGTTGTTAATTATGAAAATGTCTCAAAGCTATGAAGCAAAGATTTGGGATAGGTTGTACATCTCTAATCAACTTTGGATAATGTCAGGACCAAAGTCTGATAAATGAAGCAGAAAAGATAGTCATGTGGGCAGGTGACAGATCGGAAGGATAGAGGTGTTCAACCAAAGGCAGAGACTCTCAGGAGGCTGAAATTTTGCATACAGAGATAGAGGAGTAATGTCTGAAAAAGGTTCTGAGAAATGAAGAGCATTTCAACTTTATCTTGAGTCACCTCTTGAGTGTGTTTGCAGAGGCTGGATTCTCGATGTAGTACCATCCGTATATGGCTGATCTTTGAAACCATAAAATGTAGTGGTATCTGTTGTGGAGAGTCATGAGTAAGTAGAAAGAAGTATTCTATACAGATCCCTCAGGAGTGTCCCATTTAAAAGATAAAAAGATTGGAAGCCAGAGGAGGGGAAAGAAGTAGTCAGGCAGGTTGGGAAAAGGCAACAGTGCTGTGATTCAGAAATTAAAGGTTTTTCAATAAGAAATCATTGTTAACAATACCAAAGGCTAGGGGCAGTTCTGAAATAATGAAGGTCAAGATAAAGAGGCCCTAGCAATGGGATCAGAGTCCAATTTCTAGGGCTTATGGATTGATTGGGAGGAGGAAAGAAGAGCAGCGTGGGCCCTCCCCTCAGTGTGGAGTAGCCCAGTACGCAGTGGATGCTTCCACTTCCATCAGGTCGGATGGAAAAACGAGAGGACTGGAAAAGAGGAGCAGTGACCAGGAAGGGTGCATAAGTTGAGAGAAAGCTTTCTATCTTGAAGAGCGTGTTTATAGGAAGAGGGAAGATTACAGATGCAAAGGAATGAGTAAGCTCCCAGAGTGAAAAGGGTTGGGATAATTTATGTGTAATTTTTACTGAAATTGCTAGAAAACCCAAAAGAATAAGCGTTAGTCACAAATGTATTGACCATCCTTTTTTTTCTCAAATCTTTTCCACTTCTGTTCAGTACAGGTCTGTTGTCCATTTAAGGGTGGAATGTGGGAGAGAGAAATATGAAATAAAAATTTGAGTTTAGTAACAATAAAGAATTTACTTAAAATTTTTCAGAGAGCAGACTAAACAAAACAAACAATACATGGAAATTTATTATCATAGATCCTTTAAAGATCTCTCAAAGCACCTGGAATAACATCCAAACTCCTGGCCTGGCCTTGGCCTAGAACTGTAGTCTTCAGTACAGTATCCAGTAGTCACCATGGCTATTTAAATTTAATGTTAAATTAATAAGATTTCATAAACATTTTAAGAACACAATGAAATTACAAATTCGTTGTTCAGTCCCACTAACTATATTTCAAGTGCTCGGTAGCCATGTGTGTTTAGTTGCTACTATATTAGCAACTTAGCTCAGATAAAGAACATTTTCATCATTCCAGAAAGTTCTGCTGTATAGGACTGGCCTAGAATGCTCTATAATGTCAGTTTATTGCCTGCTTTCTCAACTTTCCTTCCAACCCCTCCTGCCTTCATTCACTCTGCTCTACTCCCTTTGGCCTTCTCACTCTTTCTCAAACATGCTGAGTTTTGTCTCACCTCAGGGCCGTTGCCTCTATTGGTCACTTTTCAAGGACTACTCTTCCCCATGTTATTCATGTTTCTCTTCAAATATCACTCCTTTAGTAAATCTTTCTCTGACCACTTCCCAAAATAACATCTGCCCCCTATCAAGCTCTATCCTCTGTGTGTTTTAATCTCTTCAGGTCACTGTTTGCTATTAAGCTGTTTATTTTCTGTCTTCTCAACAGTATTTGAGTTCTGTGGAGGGAAAGACTTTGTGCTGTTCACTGCAGTAGCTGCAGCATTTACAACAAGGTCTTGCAAATGATAGATGCTCAATAAATATTTGTTAAATTAATGTATGAATAGCATTCCAACTAACTGGCATATGGCCTTGTGAATGTCTTAGCAGAATTCTCTGGACATTTGCTTCTCTAAGATTCCCAGAAATGTTGCTTAGACCATAACAGTAACAGAATCATAAGGTTTTTTTAAATATATATATCTAACTGAGTTTTCTCTTGATTGCTTAGGCATAGGCCATGGGCAATTTACACTACAGCTATGTAAACTCAGAATTTGTCTTATATTTGAGTCAACACCATGCTTTAGAATTTCACTAAAGAGAATAGGATGAAACAGAAGAGACCTAGAGCAGAGCTAAAGGAGAGAGAGAGAGAGAGAGAGAGAGAGGAGAAAAAAAAATTGGCATGGTATTTTAAAAAATATACACTTTAAATCTTTCCAAGCTAAAAGGCCTAAGGGAAGGAAGGCTGTTTTATAAAGGAGTTGAGAAAGAGAGTAGAAATCTGATTGAAGTTGGGACTATAGGCCCAGATTTCCAGGGTTTCAATCCTGCCCTGCCACTCACTAACTGTATAATCTATGACAAGCTATTGCACTTCTCTTTCCCTCAGTATCCTTATCTGTACTGGGGAGCTAATGATAATACTTACTTCACAGGGTTATTGTAAAGATTAAATGAGTTGATATATGCGCTGTACTTACAGCATTGTCTAGAATTCTTCACTCGCTACATCAGTGTTTGTAGTATTACTACCTAGGGCATCCATTGTTGTTGTTGCTGTTATTATTACTAGCTCTACTATTAGCACTATAGGGCATTAGGGAAGCAAGACAATACATCTCTATATTGTCTGTATCCATGTCCACTAATCAGTTAAAATTTGACCAACGTTTTCTTAAATAACCATCTATAAAATATAATCAAGACATTTTAAAAGTAAAATAGAGTTTGTAGGAAGTCATTTCCCTACAGACTGAATATTAGGGCTCTGGCTCAAGGTACTTCATGGTAACCATCCTATTTTTGTAGATACTAATTTCTAAGTGACAAACCCTACCAGGTGATGGAAATAAAAGCAAAGAAAGACAACACAGATCAAAGAGTGTCAGGATTATCTCCTCTTCACTTTTACAATATTATGGGTTTTGATATAGCTATATCTTCAATTTAAATATTCTAAAGCACTGTTAAGATTGCTAAAATTTTTCTATCTGAAATCAGGCTGAAGCTGAACATTACACACATTTTTTTTAAACGTATTGTATTTTGATAGATGGAGGACGTTATTGAGGATATAATCGGTATGGAATCAAGTTTTAAAGAGGAAGGAACAGACTCTCCTCTGCTAATGCAAAAAACAGTAAGTGTTTCCAGACCTGTGGACCTCAACAGGATTGAAATAAGTAATAGCCTCTGATGATAACAAGAAATTTTACTTGATTAGTAAATAGTATTTTCTTCCGTGCTTTTGAAACAGATGCAAGATAAGATTAGAAATTAGTATTTTATTAATTTAAATTATTTTAATCTAAATTAAATTATTATTACCAATGATTGTGTCAAGACTAAGAGTAATCTAGAAATAGATTTATGTTAGAAAATATTTTACGCAGAAAAAGATTATATAATGTTACTGAGATTATTTATCTATTTCAATATGTATCTCCATCTGTGTCTATACAAAAACCAAAACCAAACACATTGCCATTGAGTCAATTCTAACTGTCTCTATATGTACCCATCTAATTGTGTATCTAATCTGCTATAGCATTTTCTATGAGTGATTTAATCTTCAGATTTCCTATTTGAAGCACAGCATGTAATCAGACATCTTATAAGACTGTGATTATATCTTGACTATTTCACCATGACTAATAGGAGCTCTGATAGCATAGTGCCTAAGGCACTTGACTGCTAACCAGAAGGCTGGCAGTTCAAACCCATCAGCCACTCCTCAGAAGGAAGATTGGGCAATCTACTGTAGTGATATTGCCTTGGAAACCCAAGAAGGGGTTGCTATGAGTCGGGGCCGACTTGACGGCACATAACAACAACAACAACAATAGCTATTACAGTCAGAAATTCTCTACCCTGTAAAGGAAAGAAAAAGATTATGTCAAAAGAAGTATATAAATTTACTTCTCAGTCAATAAGTAGAGTTTAAAGATTGTATGGAAGAAAAAATAGGCCTCATCCTGCTTTAAAGCATGTAGAAAGACTTCTGTGTTGAAATCAGAACAAATTCCTGGAATTATATGCAATATAGGGGTGATATCTTATCTCTTACTGGATTGCTGTTGCCTTCTCCTAGATCATTTGGTAATGACTGAAAACGTTATCTCTAAAGGGCTTGCAAGCTCCTTCGACATATTTTGAATAGTTATTGTTGGTTTGTTTGTATATTGTTTAAGACCTCTAGGAAACATGAAAGAAAAGGATATGAAAGATTGTGATTGAATTTTTACATTACAAATTTAATTTAAAGAAAGTTTATTTTGACCATATTATATATTGTGGACACTCTTCATCAGTTAATTAATAGGTTATGCTATTTTAATTGTATTTTAAATTTAAAAGTTTAATCTTAAAAGAAAATTGGAGAAAGCACCCTATCTTTAAAAAAAATAATAATTCTCAAATATATAATCTAAAGAGAGAGTACTTCTTGCTCCTTCCCCCCCAGCATGAAACACCTCCTCACATAATAAATCAATGATACTAATATTACCTGCCAGAAATCAGATGAGATTGGAAACTGTTTTTATTGCAGGTTTTTTTTTTCTTTTTTTTTTTTTTTAGGACAGAACGACATCTCTTTCTACCTCATCTCTCTTCAGATTTCAAGTAGCGCAGTTACATGAATACTGACTAATACTAGACAAATACTTATTGATACTAATTTCTCCTTGTCCAATTTCACAACATAAGGATGCTATTTTCTTAACCATTATTCAACTTCTGAATTTGATAAAAAATTAATTTCCTGCAATCTTCTCTTCTATGTATGTGGTACTTATATCATTTAAATTGTATCTTGAACCATTCTCTTTGCCAAATTATCATACTTATTTTTGCAGAGGTCATGTAGATACATAGTACAAAGTAGTGGTAATGGCTATCATGAATTTGCTTTTAAATTAAAGAATTTACTTTTTAAAAGGTAGATAAACTGGGCTAGTCCTGGTATGTAAAGAAATATCTTCTGTTGACCAATCAGAGATCACTGATCCTTCTAAATCTACATGTAAAACCAAGAAGTTCAATGAACCAATTATATATTGAATATATATTTGCAAAGCATAAACTCAACAACAACTAACAACAACAGTCGGAGAGACTGAAAGTTGAGTGAGAGACAAATCATGTATCGAAAGGTGATAATATAGTGGAGCAGTGCAATGAAGTAGACCAGAGAAGCAGGGAGGGAAAGGGTGTGGATTTAGGGCCAGGTTCTAATCTAGATGCTATGAGGCAGTTGTGGGTCAGTGATAGAATTCTCACTTTCCACAAGGGAGACTCTGAAGTGATTCTCAGACAGTATAACTCCTGTGCAGCCACCACCTGTCTGTCAGTGGTGGATCATGCGTTGTTGTGATGCTCAACAGATTTCAGCAAGGTTTGTCACACTAAGATGGACTGGGAAGAAGGCCTGATGATCTACTTCCTAAAATCAACCAGTGAAAACCCTGTGACTTACAAGGATCCCATCCACAACCAATTATTGTGATGGTGCAGGGCTGGGTAATTTCAAGTTCAGTTGTGTGTGGGATCATCAGGAGTGGAGGGGTGACTGATGGCAGCTAACAGCAACAACCTAGACACTGAGACAATGTGCAACTCATTTAACTTCTCTTTGTTTTGCTTTCTTCTTCAGCATTACAGAGATAATTAAAAGTATTTTTCTCAGAGGCAGTTTTTATATTAAAACGTAGAAGAATAGAGCTCTGGTGGCATAGTGCCTGTGGCATTTCACAATTAATCAGAAGGCTGGCTGTTCAAGCCCCACCAGCCACTCCTCGGAAAGAAGACTATATTTCCATAGAGATACTGAGTCAGAAACAAAAGAGGGGTCGTTATGAGTCAAATTTGACTCGAAGGCAGTGAGTTTGGTTTTTTTTTTAAGAGTAGATGTATATATTTTAAATGCTTGTCAGAGAGTTACTCTGAAGGTTGGCTAAAGGAGTGACCATGCTAAATTAAGAATTTTTGAAAATATTTCAGGAAGAGATGATGTTAGAGAAATAGTTATGAAGGATAGTTAAGATTTTAAGAGATAGACATGAAGGCCAGAAAGTAGCAAATTAAGATAACATAAGAAAAGACAAGAAGTGAGAAAGAAGAGAATGTATAAGAATAGCTAGCTAATAGAACAGAGGGAGGAAACGCAAAAGGATTTTTATAGTTAGGTGGACAAAAATAAACCCACTGCCACTGAGTCAATTCCACTCATAGCTACTCTATATGAATCAGATAAAAATAATTATCTGTTATACTCAAAAGATTATTCTGAGCAAGTTTATTAGCCAGCACACTTTTGGTTCTAGAGGATAGAATTTTGCTCATTTGGGCTTAAACCAAAACCCACAGCCAATGAGTGATTCCAACTCATAGCAACCTTGTAGGACAGAGTAGAACTGGCCCCAAGACTGTAAATCTTTACAGAAGCAGACTGCCTCATCTTTCTCTCAAAGAGCAGCTGGTGGATTAGAATCTCAGACCTTTTGGTTAGCAGCCAAATACTTAAACCACTGCACAGTCAGACCTCCTTCATATAAGTGTAAGTTAAAGTGAATTCACTGGTCTGTGTCATCTAAAAATCAATATGTAATACTGTGTTTACAAGTTTCCATCCATTTGACTCCAACTCATGATGACCTCATGTGTGTCAGGCTGTTTCACAAAACTTGCTTCATAGAGTTTTCAGTGGTTGATTTTTTGCCAGGGCTTTCTTCCCAGGTAACTCTGGGTGGGCTTGAGCCTTAATCTTTCCGTTAATAGCTGAATGCATTAACCATTTGTATCTTTCAGGGACTCTAAATGAATTCTAGTTAGGCTAAAGTAACAGATGTACACTATAGTAAAATTCAGAAGGGAAGGTCTTTATCAATAACAATAATTATTCTTAATTGCTCATCTACTTTTTGATAACCACTTTTCTAAGTGTTTTACATATATTTATGTAGTTCACACAAAAATATGCTTGGTCTCCATATAATCCGTTGAGTGTTCTATTAGTCACTTTGGAGTCTGCCTTTGTTCTCTAGTACTGCTATAACAAACACACCCACAAGTGGATGGCTTTAGCAAACAGGTATTTATTCTTTTATAATTTAGGAGGCTAGAAGTCCAAGTTCAAAGTGCTGGCTCTAGAGACTGGGTGAAGGCCCCTCAACATGGGGCTTCAGCTCTGCTTCCTATTCGAGGCCCATTAAAGCTGGAGGCTTTTCAGACTCATGCAGCTGCTGGCTGCTGAGGCTGACAAACCCAAAATAGGTAAAATGGGAAAGCTGAAAATAAGCAAGCAACATGAAAGGCCAAGAATCAGCCAAGTGCAGGGTACAGATGTGCCAAAAAAGCTAGAGACATTTCTCAAAACTTCTCCTTATATATTAGAAGTAGACCACAGCCTGAAGTCAGCCACTTAGCTGCTCACAGGACATTACAACAAGGAGATGATTACAAATATCATCATGGGGAATAACTCAATCCAGTTGCCCAGGCACACAAAACCCATGGTCCAGCCAAGTTGACATATAACTTTAACTACCAGAAGGTCCTTTGCTGTGACCCGAGCAGAAAACCTACATATCCATCCCAAACAAATAAACAAAAACAAAAAACACTGCCATGGAGTCAGATCCAACTCATTGAGACCTCTCCTTGGATTTCTGAGGCAGTATCACTACAGAAATAGATTGCCCAATCTTCCTTGCAAGGAGTGGCTGGTGGGTTTGAACCACCAACCTTCTGATTAGCAGTCAAATGCCTTAGGCTGTATGCCACCAGAGCTCCTAGAAAACCTATATAGAGTTAATAAAAGTGGTGTTATAACTTCTGTGGGTTGGAGACTTGAAAGTTTCTGAGAGGAGCTTGGGGCATTGTAGTTGTCCAGATTTACGCAGAGTGAATGAAGTAGTCCAGATGTTGTTATAAATCAAAATTGTCCAGGCATTTCTGACCCAACAGTGAATGATGACTGACAAGACTGAATAATTAAGCAGAAATTACACCTCAATTTCTACTTGATCAAGAGGTAAACCAAATACCAAACTCACTGCCGTTGAGTCAGATCTGACTCATAGTGACACCTCCTTGAGTTTCCCAGGTGGTATCACTATAGAAGTAGATTGCCCAAACTTC